ATTAAAGCCCTTTAAACAACAAGCTACCACAAGGGACATCAGAAAGAAAAGGTCAGGCCCTTATACTGTACATAGAAAGAAGTAAGAACAAGGCAAACTGCTTTTAGATTTTAAAATAATAACTTCCCTGCATGAGCCTTTCTGAAATGGTGAAGTCCTTTTCCTGCCAGCTGGAGATGCCCCAGGGAACTTTATTCCTAGCCAAACAGTGGCAAGGTTCCAGGTCATAAAGAGCCAATCCTTGCCACTGATCCCAGACCAATGTCTAACCTCAGGTGACTTATTTCTAGACACCCCCATCTTCTGTGACTGTCTGCTGGTACAGCCCTACCGTCACCCACCCAAGGTATCTGTCACTGTCATCTCAAAGCACCAAAACACTGTGTGCCTTTCCAACTTCAGAATGACTTTACCTTCTGAATCATCAAAAAGACAGCAAAGGGTGTTTGGGATAGTTTTCCTGTTTAATGCCGAAGCAGTGGTTGTCCTTTGTTGCCACGAATCACACATCTTTGGATATTTCTGAAACCTCTGAACGAAGCATCCGTAGCCACTGATGGAGGTTCAGATGGGGTGGAGAGAGGGGTGAGTCATACTCAGTGGGGAGGTATTAGATCTAGACCAGAGCAACTGTGCCTTTGAAGGAGGGGCCTAGGTCAATGGTTACAGAGAGTTTAAGGAAGAAATGTGGAGAATGAAAGAGGCAAGCCCAGGGCAAGTAGAAGTCACTACCTACGGCCCCGAGCAGCAGCCACGCTTCTTAGCAGATAGCTTCATCTACAGTGTCTCAGTACACATAGGATTTGTGGTATTGTGAAAGCAGAGAAAGTTAGGGATCACAACAATGGGGTCTAATCCTTGACACTTTCTAGAAACTAGTGTGCAGTCATAAAAGCAGGACACTTATTTCTTTAATTTGGAAAATGAGGGGACTAAGTCCCACTTTTCTACCCATAGAAGTATTCCAGGCAAGCACTGTGAGTTAGCTTTGGTGTACAGGTACATTATGTGGACACAGGGCCACCATCACTTCAGCTGATAGCTACTTGGCTGGGGGAGGGGAGGCGGGAGGAGGCATTCGTGTGTTCATTCTATGCATATTGGCGGACTATCCCCAAGAAGCGCTGATCTCCCTGTGCTAAGCAGTGCACAGCAGTGCACAGCTGATCTAACTGGGCCAACTGGGCTTACTCTCTTAAGGCTACTGTTTTGTTGGGAAAATACAAGAATGGAAAATAACGTTTAAGTCTGTTTGCTTGGTTTTTGTTTTTCTACCAAGGGAGCCCTAAAGATACTTTTTAACAATTTCTGCAAACATAAACTCAGAAGCCCCCGGGCATCTCTGCCAGTGCCAAGAGTAACTGCCATGTTAGCCACTGTCATTTTCTTCCAGGGCATTTACAAATGACTCAAGAAGCGCTCAGCATCACTACACAGATCTAGATCCGAAAGAGCCCCAGATGACCGTTCATTCATTTATCCCTTCTCATTTTCATCCACTATCCCTACTCTCCCTTTACCTGGGAGCAAAAGTCTCCAACACAGCAGAGCCAAATAAAAGAGAAGCCTAGAACCACACGCCACCACTTGGACGGAACTGTTCAATTCACTGCAACAAATGTAGAAATAAACTTTTGAGTGGAAAAGTCACTGTGTTTAGGGGGATATTGGCATAGAAGCTAATAAATCCTTTCCTAAAAAGTATATCCTTTAGCTTTCCTTTTAATTTTGATATCTTGCAATACTTTTCTTTTGCTTAAGTTCACCAGAACCAGTGTTTTCAACTATAGTCTCTGATAGATCTATTACTAACAACTGATGAAATATGTAGATGAAGATTGTGACCAAATCTTCATCATCAACCAAAATCAAACCATATCAACTCACTCAAGACTGTAGGTATCTATGTCACGTCAACAAAGACACATGCAGTATTCAGAAACATTTAAGAGACACGAAGTGAGAACTAGCTATAGAGGCTGCCCTTTGTCAGTTTAGAGCCTCTGTATGGTGGAGCCCCCCTCGGCAGGGCAGATACAGACATGGAGAGGATTGGTCCTCATTCGGCGCTACTAAGGAACTCTCAGTTTTGTGAGGAACTGAAGAAAAGTATACATATAGTGTCAGGGTTACCACTCTCATGAGGTGAAACTAAAGCACCCCGCCAAAGGGTGCTATTCTTGGCCTCGTTCATTTTATAGCAGTAGCTGGGGTGATTCATCTACTCTCACGTGGTTCTGCCCGTCTGTTGGTCATGATTCTTAAACCCTCCGTCTCCTGTCTTCACTTGCCTCTGACTTCCAGACTGACGCTTACAATTGTCAGCAAACAATCTGCCATGGGCAGTTTTGGGTAAAATGCCATTTACTTTGCTTACTTAAAGGGATTGGTTTCCATCTAGGAAAAATGTCCCAATGAAATAGAGCCCCTGGAGCTCCACTGGTGTCCCACAGGCATCTTAAATTCTGCATGTCCCAAACTAGACTCATCCCTCTGCTTCTATGCTTGCGTTTCCTCCCGTGTCCTCTTTCTTAGTTAATGGGTGACTGGTTCCCCCACCTAGTTGGAAATCCTGTTTGGCTCAGCTCTCTCACAGCGGTCTTCCACACATCCCCAAGGTCGATGGCTTTGACCTCAGGACAGCTGTTAGGGTGTCTTCATTTCCTGTTCTGGTTCAGAGTCTCACACCTTTCATCTGTGCGTTACCAGTCTCCATATCAAACCCTGCTCTGCTCCCCTTCCTCCAGTGAACCATCCGCAGGCACGCAGACTCTGCTTCCAAAGCCTCTCGTACACAACTTCACTCCAAATATTTGAAAACAAGTCCCTTGGTCTTTAAGTCCTTTTTTTACTAGAATGAATTTTCTAGCCATTGCTCACAGAAAATTCAATAAGCATTAGTTCATGGTGTTGTAATTAGCAAACTGTGAACCCCAGAAATCTTCCCAGGCGACTCCATTCTTTGACAGAGAACCCAGAAATCAGGTTGCTTTCCTGGTCTCACAGAAGAAAAGACTGTCAAACAAAGTGCCCTGTAGAATATAACAACCAAACTACTCTATTTTTTTTATGTGACAGTATTTTGAAAAATTTTATAAATTGGTGCCAAAGATAAAAACTCAGAAATTTGCATTTAGGCCTTTAAAGTATTCAAAAATGTAACCGATGGAAACCAGTTCCTTTAGTTAACACAAGTAGTATTGCCACGGCAAAACTATCACATTTTGGACATTTCTAATCAGGGTGGCACAGAACAGGTGTCGCTCCGGTGCCTGGGTGTTGAGGCCCTGGTTTCATGCAGAGCTAGGGTGGCGGTGTCCCTCGTCTTCCGTCACGGTTCATCTCAGAGCAATGCTAGTTTCTGCTCCTCATCTCTTCTGCCATCACTGGTGACCATTTTCATCCAAGCCTTCCTTTCACTCACCATCTGCTGAACCCTTTGGGCCCCAAGGAAGGCATCCTCAGGCCACAGTTAACCTGGATTTGATCCAGAGGTATGTCTGCAATGTCCTCAGAGGGCAAAACTTGCCCTTCATTCATTTCCCCTACATCTTCTCAGGTGGGACTAAATTATCTAGAGTGGTTTTTCCTTTTCTTTTTTTTAAAGCTGGCCTCCTTTCCCTGCACACACAGTTACTTCCATGCAGATGGCTGCCTTAGTCAAACAACTGGGCTCACAATTATCTAACTACAGGCTCACACAAACTTCTTGTTCCTGAAAATTTGACTATTAGAGTCCTGAGATTAGGCAAAATTTATCTCTTAGATATCTCATCTTACCATGTTTTTGGCATTGCCAATAAGCCTTTTGTTCCTTTAATTTCCATTTCCCTACAAGCCACAACAGTTACAGTTTGCATGCTGGCCCTGAGGTCTATATTTAAGTCAACCTTCTAACAAGGAAAGCTGATGCTACCTCAGTTCCTTTTGTAAACGTTTGTAAGACGAAGACATGAGAACAATTGCTTTGTCAAAGTCATGACAAATAAAAAAAAAAACACTAAAAATTCTAAATAGAAAATGCTACTTTATCCTGGGGTATTGAGTTTCTCACAGTGGGTAAAAATCAGTCTTAAACTTCATTTTCCCTTCAAACAAGGAGTTCTTGCACGTTCCCACAAATTAGTGTCAGCTAACTTTTAGAGGCTACAACAAGAGAAAAGCAACGTCTTCTGAATCATGGATTAAAGGGTACTTCATCACTTTTTCCTGCTACAATTTAGACGAGGCTTTTCTTTTTCTTGTTTTCTGTGTTGGTTTAATCTAAGTTTTTTAGTTAGTTTGTTTGTTTTATCTAACCAACATTTATAAAACAAAAAAAAATAGGCCTTCCGTTTTCAAGATCATTTTGCACTAACATCCTTCCAGTCCACAAGAGGAAAAGTAGCTAAAGTAAGGAGTTCCCAGTTATGAAACAGTGAATATTAATAAGGATGAGATATGTTTGCTTGAAAATAGCTCAGATGCTTCCCCTTACAGTTAAATCAGCACACTTCGAAATAGCTCTTCTCGTGGGACGCATTCTATCACTAGACTCTCCATTGGGCCGCCATCTTGCCTCCTGAGTATCTTAAGGAGAGACAACTGGGTGGGCCGAGACTCCTGGGGTCTCCAGAAGAGTTTGCACGCCCACCAATGGGTTCTTATCTCTCTTTCTGTTTCTACCACACTTTGAAGGTCTCTAGCATTTTCTTTAACAACTAATTATCACATGAAAAGAAAAGAAGAAGATAAGGTAAATCAAGGTTAAAGGTGAAAGTAGAAAGTAAGGGGCACTGAGGAAATGAGAAACATTTCTGGCAGTGCTGCAAAGAGTCAGAGCCTTCCAGAAGCAAGACGCGATAGATACAGCCACTACTCAGAAAGAGACGACCCTGCAACAGGGCTGTCTGTGCAGAAAAGATCAAGGCCACGTGTGCAGTCTGCTAACACAGGCAGGGAGGAAAGAAACACAATGCAAGCAGCCTAAGGTGGAAAGGTCGCCCCTGGTTCTCACTTACCCAACACCAGCAGCTCCACAGAGTCCTCATTTTTTCCTTCCAGGTCATCCGGGGTGGTGATGATGCAGTAATAGAGTCCGCTGTCTCCCCACATGAGCTTTCCGATCTGCAGATCCGCATCTGTGATCACAGAAAGGAGGACCCGCTCCTGAACCCCCGTCTTCCCGAAGAAAGGCACTGAACCACGGGGTCTGGGACAGGAGCGCCCTGCTGGGACATCTACACGGTTCTGTTTCTTTGCCTGCATAGTGGCTGGGAAACGCTCGCTTTATTTCAAACAAAATAATACAAACTAGCATCTGTAAGGCAAGAGAATTAGAGTACAGCCACAAATAGATCTGGTTCTAGCCCACTTTCCGGAGGAGCTGACGGCTTTGAGCCAGGCCTACAGTGGAGCCTAAGAACTGGGTAAGTTCCCAAATAATTTTGGGTTCCTAGAAATAAATTGATTTCTTCAAATCATTTAATGATCGAATAGGTCACGAAACTTTTCTGATCTCAAGCTTTAGGGAACTGGAGAGAGGGTGGGATCTATTCATCTACCTGGCTCTGTTGCTTGTATGTATACATCCCTTCTCCAGGAAAAGGAATTTTAAGGAAAGTCCACTTTTCGGGGTCAGCAAAGGGCAGAAAGGGCATGTCCAGGTACAGAATGTCTTCCTTGAGTCCTTCCACTGAAACTCATATCAAACAGTCCTGAAAGCAATCTCTAAGATTGGCGGTCAGGCTCTGAGAGGCTACTCCAGAGCTTGTCTGTGTTCCCTACACAATACACTGTCTACACTCCCTCCCCTGTCATTCAAAGCAATATGTCAGGGCTCTTGACGCTCCCATCCCCCACAAAAATCAGATCCTTGAGGAACCGAAAGAGGACTTCCCTTCGGTCTGGGGCAAAAAATGGACCTCCCTCCCACTCCCTGGGTTCAGAACAAAGGTGTTGGTACCGTGAACTATCGTGATCTCTCTGCCCCTGTAGAAATCTCCCAGGGTAACGGTCGAGCCCTGCTTTGAAGCTACCACTCGGACGGTCCTTCTGCTGTCTAAACAATCCAAGTAGGGGTCCCATTCCAGGTTCCTCTTGCTGAGAGCTTGGGTTCTGGGAGAGGGCATGCCCAAGGATTCTCCCATGCGATCCTGGCAGTAGGATTTGAACTTCCACTGCACCACTGCAGGCTGATGGGAGGATGTGGAGAAGTGGCAGCGAAGCACGGTGGGCTGGAAGAGCATGGCCACCTTCTTCTTGTCGGGCACTGAGACTTGAAGGCCTTCAACCATGGCTGCAAAACAGAACGAACGTGTCCAAGCCGGATCCATATCTCAGGCCTCACCTCTCACCATGTGACGGCATCCCTGTTCACACCCTTATTCTCAGTGTCCAAGCCGGATCCATATCCAGACCTCACCTCTCACCGTGTGACGGTATCCCTGTTCACACCCTTATTCTCAGTGTCCAAGCCGGATCCGTATCTCAGGCCTCACCTCTCACTGTGTGACGGCATCCCTGCTCACACCCTTATTCTCATGTAGGCTCACAGTGCTGGGTAACGGTCTATTTCGGTAAGGAAGGCAGAACAGCAAGAGCTTGAGACAGCCAGTCACGCTGCAGCCACAGTCAAGAAACAGAGTTATAAACGTGTGCTCTTAACTCACCTTCTTATATGGTCTGGGTTCCTAGCCCAGGGAATGAAGGTCTTCCCCTCTCAACCCAATCCAGATAAAACCCCACAGGCATGCCCAGAGGCTGTATCCCCGGGTCATTCTAGATCTCATCAAGTTCGTAATTGAAACTAACCACCACATTTGGCAAGACATTCTAAAACCCATCAGCTAGCTTCCTGCCTTCAGCGTCACCCCTTTGATGGAACTCTATCTGTGCACCAAGCTTCACAAATACCAAACTTAACGCGAGCCGCGTTATTCCGCATTTCCACGTCTCTGCACATGATGACCCTTGTTTCTGGAATGCTTTGCCTCACTTCCCTTGGAATTTGCTTTCCATCATCCAAAACGCAGTTCAAAGGCCTCTTAGGATGCATTCTTTGGCCAGTTTATCCCTTCCTCCTTCATGTCAGCCACACACAGCGCTCTTGTGTGCACAGTCATTGTAACAATTCTGTGAGTATTTCTTTTCCTGCCCTTCCAGGAAAGGGTAGTATATCATCTTGTCATCCTAAATTATGAAGCCCAGAAGTGCTGAACAAATACTTGATGAATAACATTCAAGAAAAGTTGACTTCCCTTCCTGATGGTGACCCATGCAAAGGGAAGAAGTAAGGGAGAAAAGAAATCTCTTCATGACAGAGAGATCTCAGGACCAAAGCAGTAGACTAGGTTGAATAGCTCTGAAGAACAATCAAAAGAAGGAAAACCACAAAAATCAGGTGAGAAGAGATGCCAAGAGAGCCAGGTAATTACAGTAAATGAGAGACCAAGTGAGTCTGAGAGACAAAGAGCTGTGTAAAGTCATTAATAAAATCTAGACATTCTAAGCAATGAGAACACAACTTAAGTGAATGGGAGAGTCTAAAGCTTCAAGCCTAGAAACTTCTGTCAGAAGAAAAAAAAAGGAAAAAGAAAGAAAAGAAAAAGGGACTGTGATGAGAAACAGAGAAAAGGAGTATAAACATAGATGATAGATAGATAGATAGATATAGCTATAGATGATTAATAGAGACATAGATATAGATAGATGATAGATATAGATAGATTGATAGATATAGATGATAGATATAGATAGATTGATAGATATAGATAGATAGATATAGATGATAGATATAGATATAAATGATAGATAGACAGATATAGATAGATGATAGGTGACAGATAGATATAGATAGATGACATAGATAGATGGTAAACAGATGGATAGACATAGATAGATGATAGATATAGAGATGATAGATAGATAGATAGATAGACAGACAGACAGACAGACAGATAGATAGATAGATAGATAGACAGACATAGAGATATATGGAAGAGGTTCCGAGCTGAATACAAGAATTGCGAAGTTGACTTTTGGTACCTTGGAGCAGGTTTCTTTTTTCCCCCTTGGTTTTGGTTTTGGTTTTTTAAGACAGAGTTTCTCTGTGTAGCTCTGGCTACCTTGGAACTTGCTCTGTAGACTAGCAAGTGCCCTGCTGAGACTCCACTTGGGAAAACCACAGCTCCTAGCCTCTCTAGGGTAAATACCATCAGCAAGGGGGAAGAGTGCAACATGAAAGCACTGGTGAGCTTTTAAATGTTAGTTATTCTTTTGTTTTTAAAGAAAGAGTCAAGTTTGGTTTTATTCATTAGACGATTGTTGAGAATAACGTCCTCAGCAGCTCTGTTCTCTGTTAGTGAGATTAGTCTCATACTCAGAGCTTTGCCTACCTCTGCCTCCCAGGTGTTGTGATTAAAAGCATGCACCACAGCACCCAACATGGGGCAGAAGGTATTGCCTTAGAACTGCAGCACAGACTTGAGACAGGTGAGAAAGGATACCTTTTCTTTGAGAACCTTCTTCTCTGTGTCTACAGTACAAAGCACTCACCCTCACAGCTCAAACACACTTCTTAGGAACATATCTCTTTACCAAAGCAGGCTTGACAAGGATAAGATGTACTCATGTCTCCAATTTCCAGATCCATATCCTCCCTCCTCCATGAAAAGCACAGGGGAAACACGGGCCCTATTTCTCGTTATGAAAGAACGATTTCTTCATTCCATGGAATTTGGTAGTGAACACAAGAAAGTGTTTGGACCAGCTATGTGCTTGGAGGTTAAAATAAAGCATGCATGAGCAAATATGTGACTATTAGTATGAGAATTTTGAGGGCTTTGCAGAGGAAAGTAGTAAGTGAGTCATAGTTCGCATAGTATATTAAAATAGTGTTGGCATCCAACAGGAGGGCTTAGAATATCATCTGACAACATACAAGTGGCAAGGCCTGAAAATCTGGGTAGCAATAGCAATCTGAGACGCATTCTACTCACCTACCCAGTAAGTATTGTACTGCTTTCTCCCAGGGTCACAACATGATGCCTCACTGGGCTTCTTCAAGGAGCAGACTTAACAGAGGTTCACTTAGAGGCAGATCTCACATGACAATCCCCCCTCACCATTTTCACCTTTGTCCTTACTTCCTGTTCTGATGCCACCCCATCTCAAGGACCATTTCCTGCCACCGGGTTTGAGCATACCCATATTAGGTAGACCAACCCCATCAAGGGGTAAATAACACTTCCATCTGGAAGCTCAGTTGCAATCTCCCGCCCCAAACGCTGTAGCTAATTCCACTCTCCCTGACTCGCATGGCTGCGACAGGAACACACATTGCTTTACTCCTGAACTTATATAGCACCAAGTTCTGACCATGTAATACCTGGAACCTTTATGTACATCCCAGTTTCCCAGGAGACATAAAGGAACAGAGTTGACACGGACTCAATTAATAGCAGCTGTGTTTGGAGGGGATACAGGCACTGCTGCCAGGACACAGTGCACTTGACCATGCCAGTTTCCTGCTCTGTGCCCTGCTGAGACTCCGCTTGGGAAAACCACAGCTCCTAGCCTCTCTAGGGTAAATACCATCAGCAAGGGGGAAGAGTGCAACATGAAAGCACTGGTGAGCTTTTAAATGTTAGTTATTCTTTTGTTTTTAAAGAAAGAGTCAAGTTTGGTTTTATTCATTAGACGATTGTTGAGAATAACGTCCTCAGCAGCTCTGTTCTCTGTTAGTGAGATTAGTCATCTGAGCAAGCCAAGCCATTGAACCCTCGTAATCAATTATTAATAGAGGTTAGTCAGTCAATTCTCAGCTTCTTCCGTGATAGACATGCAAACCCCTGCTAGGAAGAATAAGAAACGCGTTCTCGGAAACGCTTGCCTTTTCACAGCATGGCGGTTAAAGGCCTGGATTTGAGAATCAATCCTAAATTAGAAATCCAGTTATGCAGCCTTAGGCAAGTTACTCAACGTGTGAGTAAGACTATAATAACAGTAACAGTTTTATGGGGTTGTTTAAAGGTGAGATACATTGTATCCTAAATACTGATGGTGACAGATGATACATACTAAGCACTGAAGATAAGCAACTGCTGCTCATGTTGCTGTGATTAGCAAGGAATATCAGTTGGCTTCCGGGGAGCTGTGGTCTCCAAGCTAGGCAAGTGCAGAGAGCCAGGTAGGAGATGTTGAGTGTGAAGGGGGGCAGAATGGGCAGAAAATGCACAAGCATGCTGGAATATAACATCAGAACTTCCACGGTGACAGTGTCTGGCTATGGTCATCACTTAACTAGTACAGGTCCTTGGAGTTGGAATGGAGAGTGGTGTGTGTGTGTGTGTGTGTGTGTGTATGCACTCTGTATGGGCATAGATGCACATGCTGGTGCAATGGGAACCTGTACTGAGGACAGAGTTGGATTCTTTGAGAGAACAGGACCAGGAGTTCTGAGTGTAAGTTTACTGGACTTTTGAGGACCGCAAGTGTTAAGATTTAAAACTAAAAATGACAGTCCCTGTCTCTACTTTGTAGGTTTCCAATGGTAAGGTGAGTACCATTCAACTCCAAAGGTTGCTCTGACCCCATTCATCAGGAACCCATCCTCCCAAGAAGATGAAGGTCTCGAACTGCTCTTCTGGCCCCAACCCTAATGTCTAGGGTGAGAGATGGGATTCCTCGTGCCCACTGGACAGCATCTCTTGTTCTCATCCTGTTTGCCTCCTACAGACATTGCTTCCGCGTTGCTGTGCTAATTTGTACCCTAATTGTCCTGACCAAACCTTCAATTTGCTTTTCTCAGACCCAGATAGCAGCCCCTTCTCTAAAGGGCTGGGTATTTTTCCTGTATCCCATCATGCATCTGAAACCACCATGCCTTCCCTTCCATGAGGGATTGAAACCCTACAAAACTGTGAGTTGTTGGGAACTGCGGTCACAGTGAGACACAAGTAATGAATGGACCCAGGTAAAAACTTGAGTGTTGATGATTTGTTCTCTGCCTTTGACCCCATTCAGTTAGTCACTATACATACCTCTCAAACCTGACTTTCCTCTATTCTCACTATAACCAGCTTCTAGCCCCTCCTACCAGGTAATAGCCATATGGCACTCTGTGCTAAGTCCCTCTCCTATAGCATTTGAATGAATTCTTTCAAAGGCTTATACAATAGAGGCAATTGTCACACCCATTTTACATATTAAAAACTGATGCTCAAACATGCATACCCTGTCTAACATACCAGGGTAGCAGGTGACAGCCAGGCTGAGGCCCAGGCTAACTGGCTCCAA